CTCCCCACACTTGGGCTCTAGACCCTTCCCCAGCAGCTCCGTTGCCCTTCTCTGGCCACGCTCCAGCCCCTCAAGGTCCTGCTGGGAGTGAGGGGCCCAAAACTGACCCCAGGATTTGAGGTGCAGCCTCCCCAGTGCTGAGTCCAGGAGGACCCAAAGCGGTTCAAAGCTTGCTCTGGTGTTAGCTTTGGGGATCAAACACACTCACTGTGCACACCCCAAACCCAACACGAGGTCAGCAAGAGAAATTGGGGAATTTCCTTGGGCCCACACAGCTGCTTTGAACCCTAAGAGGGGCCTCACTGCTGCCTGCTGGCCACGGGGCTGGTGGCCACTGCGGGCACCAAGAGGTCCAGAGTTTCCCTGGGTGGTGGGAGTGTCTGAGCTCTCTGGGGTCCTCCTGCTGGGAAGGGCTGCCAGTGCTGAGTGGCACCTTGGTGTCCTTGGCTTGGCAGAAGCTGAAGCACACGGAGAGTGACAAGCTGCAGGTGCAAATTCAAGCCTACCTGGACAACGTTTTCGACGTGGGAGCTTTGCTGGAGGATGCTGAAACCAAGAATGCAGCCTTGGAAAGAGTTGAAGAACTGGAAGAAAACATTTCCCACGTGAGTATCACACTTGGTCACCTTCCCCTCTGCCCCATGCCACTTGCTGTGCAGGATTTGTCCCTGTGAGGTGCTGCTCTGCTGGAGACAAGGTATCCTCTAGAAAGCACCTTGGTAGATCTGCTCCTTTGAGCTACCTGGAAACCTCATGGCTCACTCTGGTGGCAGATTTTTAGGGGCTCACTTCTCATCTCTTGGTCCATAGACTCATCCTGGGAGTCCAGATGTTCATTTTCTGTCAGAAGGAGTAATAAATAGGATTGCAGAAGGTTTTCTCTCAAAAGCACAGCAGCCTGTGCCACCTCTGCACCCAAGTCAGCGTGGTTGGTGGTGGAAAGAAGCCAAAAAGAGCAGCAGGGCTTTGAGATCCTGGGTTTGCAAGGCTGGCAAAAAAAAAATAAATGGAAAGACAATGCAGGAAAACCAGAAAAGAAACTCTTTAATTCATCACTAATCAAATGAGCCTCGTTCTGAGAAGTGATGCCACAGAACCACAGGATGCTTTGGGTTGGAAGGGACCTTAAAGATCATCTGATTCCAACCCCCCTGCCATAGATTTGTAGGTTCTGTCCTTTTGGCACCTCTGGGTTTTGCAGTGGTGCCCCTGTGGGGTTCTGTGGGGTTGGGGGCTTTCAGGTCAGACTTGGTGTGGACATCAAATGCATTTGAAGTGGCTTTTGCACCAGCACAGCTTCATAGTGACTGGAGTTCCCTGGGGCTGAATGGTGACACTGATCCCCTGAGGAACCTTCAGCAGGGCACGTGGTGCCCACCAGGAGCACAGAGGAACCTTCTGTTCCCAAAGAGACCTCAGGGTTGGGTGGAGGATCCATAGTTTAGCCCATACCACTGCTTCCCCACGGCCTGGTTGCCAAACTGGCTGTCAGCCACGTGCCTCATCCTCTTCTCTTTTCAATGGCAGTTGTCTGAGAAACTCCAAGACACGGAGAACGAAGCCATGGCCAAGATTGTGGAACTGGAAAAACAACTTATGCAGAGAAACAAAGAGCTGGATGTGATCCGGGTGAGCGTGGTGGGAAAGCTCTGGCTGGGGGCCACGTGCAGGGACAGCCAGGGAGGTTCTCCAGGTGACAACTGAGGGCCTGGCTTTGAACCTAGGACGTGTTTCAAGCAGAACTTCTTGTGTGTGCACTCAAAGGTGGAGTTAAAGCTCTCTGAACGTGCCAGTGAATCAGGGAGTGAGTCAGGTACATGTTGTAGTGTCCAGGTTTGGAGGTGGACCTGGAGTCCTTCAGACTTGGGCTGTGCAGCAGCAGGATAGGTGTGAGTGCCCTGTGGCTGTGCTGTTGGGTGCACCCAACTTTCTGTGCACAGTCCAGACTCCTTCCTCCTCTGTGTCTAGTCTGAGTAGGAAAAACTGAATAGAATGTTAACTAACTTCAGCCTAAATGTCATCCCCGAAGGGTGGCTGCTTCTAAGGTTCCTCCAGGGGGTCTGCCCTGGCTTCCTGCAGGTACAATCTCCCCTCCAGGTCAGGAGCTCTGTTCCTGCTTCCCTTTTTGGGCCAACATCTGCTCGTAGATGGAGCAGCCAGCAAGGTGTCAGGTGATCTGTTGAAGGCAAGACCCAGGTTTTGTGTCTACACCATGTATTTAAAGCTAGTGTAGGCATTGGGGGGCATCCTGGAGGGGTGGTGAGGAGGAATTCTGCACCCCCAGGTGCTGGTGCCTACAGGTGGCATTTCCCCCAGGATTCAGTGCTTGGGGGATAACACCAGCTGAGCTCTTCCTCACCAAGGAAGACGTGTGGTCTGGTCAGAGCTCAGCGTTGGGTCCAGCGTGGCCCACGTCAGGCTGTCCTGAACATGGCACAGACACTCTGAGACTTGTCAATCCCTTGTTTCTGTGGCACTCCCAGGAGATCTACAAAGATGCAAATACCCAGGTTCACACCTTGAGAAAAATGGTGAAAGAAAAGGAGGAAGCCATCCAGCGACAGTCGACGCTGGAGAAGAAGATCCATGAACTGGAGAAGCAGGGGACCATTAAGATCCAGAAGAAGGGAGATGGTGACATCTCCATCCTTCCTGTCGCTCTGGCCTCTGGGATGGTGCCAGCAGGGTCAGAGGCCGTGGCTGGCACCTGTGGCACACCCCTCGCTGGAGCTGCATCTTCAGTGCCACTGCCACCACCTCCCCCACCCTTACCTGCCTTGGCAGCAGCACCTGAGGCAGGTGAGAGGCGTTTTGTCCACGAGAGGGGGCTGGCCAGGGGCTGGAGGTGGAGTTTGCCCTGCTGGCCAGGGGCTGGAGGTGGGGTTTGCCCTGCTGGCCATGAGCTGGAGGTGGAGTTTGCCCTGCTGGCCAGGGGCTGGAGGTGGAGTTTGCCCTGCTGGCCATGGGCTGGAGGTGGAGTTTGCGCTGCTGGCCAGGGGCTGGAGGTGGAGTTTGCCCTGCTGGCCAGGGGCTGGAGGTGGAGTTTGCCCTGCTGGCCATGGGCTGGAGGTGGAGTTTGCGCTGCTGGCCAGGGGCTGGAGGTGGAGTTTGCCCTGCTGGCCAGGGGCTGGAGGTGGAGTTTGCCCTGCTGGCCATGGGCTGGAGGTGGAGTTTGCGCTGCTGGCCAGGGGCTGGAGGTGGAGTTTGCCCTGCTGGGCACTGGCGGAGCCACCTCTGGTCGTGGTGAACCCGGGGCACCTTGCAGCAGCTGAGGGTGTTGAGGTCCCCGTGTCCCTCGGGGGTAGCTCTTGTGTTTGTCTGACCCATTTCTGAGCCCTCCAGGCGACAGGAAAAATGTCTTTAATGTCATTAGAGTCAGTAAATACACTGAAGTACTTTGGTGGGTGGTCCTGGGATGCTTGGCCCAGCAGTGGTGGAGGGCAGAGCTATGGGTGGGGGGGGTGAGGTGGGTGCTGTGGCATCCCCTGGGGGTGCCTGTGGCATTGCAGTGGGCATTGACAGTGACACCTTTTTCTCCCTTCCTTTCC